TCATTATATACAGTTTTTCAAAAAATTATTCATTCAAAAAACAAAAAAATTTTTTTTATTAAACTATTTTGACGAATAAAAAAATTGAGGTTTTTGTTAATCTTTTCAATTTTTGAAAAGATGTCTCCGAAAATTTTAGAGTGAAGTTCAATTTTAAACGACATAATCATAGTAATTTAAGAAAAATAATAACCATTTGTTCGATAGCGTGAGTCTAAAGAGCATTAAATTCAGCACAGAATGATCAACTCTGTCTGTAATTTTGCATAAAAATGTTCATAATTTGTTTTTATTTATTAATTTAAAAGTAAAATAATATAAACGTTTCGAATCGATCAATTTATCAGCAGTATTAATTATTTTCGTAGTTCTCATAAATTTTGAATGTTCTCTGTTCATAATGCTACTCAATGAAAACAATTATTTTGACTTTTACATTAATGAATAAAAAAAGAAGTGGCTAAAATTATGTAAAATTCCAGATGTCTAAGAAGTCCTACTATTAAACAATAATAATATGTGTGACAGAACATTGAGTTTGTATATAATATTTCTCAACGTTCTCTTGTTTTTGCTTCTTTTTCACCTGTTTTACTTGAAATTTTTTTGACTTTAAAATGTTTTTATATTTCTCTTTTCATTAAAGAGAAATGATTGACACACTACTCAACAATTAACTTGATCGTTCAACTATACAGTTTTATCAGTATTGGATCAAACATCATTAAAATATATGTTCTAATTCAGAAATGAAAATACTGATCAACTTTGGATACGACAATGGAATCGAGGTTGAATTTAGTGAAAAAGATAATTTCAAAGCTGATTCCGACCAGATTTTCTAGATCTGAACTGAATCAGTTATTAGAAGAAAAAATTTCTAAACTCTGAGAACAATTTAGAATAGCACAAAAATAGATAACTTTGACTATCACAAATATATGAGGACAATGATTAGGAAGAAATGACTATTATTATCAAATACACTTCCACAGTATCGTATAACAGATGGCATAAAAAGAATTATAGTTTTAGTATCTTCAATTTTTCTCCTCTTTCTTACAATTAATCGAATGAATTTCTTTTACAAAAGATAGCTCGTTCAAATCTCTACAAAATACGTATTTACTATTTTATTACAAAATCCGAAGGTAGAAAATGAGATGAGGATGAAGTTTGACTAAACTAGACTTATTTTATCGAATGAAGCAAATTTCTGGTCGCAAATCATCATTTTTAGAAATTTTTCAAAAAACAATAGTTATTTTGCCCTCAATTCTATTTTTAATCATAGGTGGAAGATAGAACTTTCCAAGGGTTACTTGATGACTACTTCAGCTTTTCTTTCTACCGCAAACGTTTAGCGAATAAAACTTAAAAGGCGGTGTCTAAAACTTATTTTTTCTCCATCTTTGTACTTTATAAGATTTTTCATCTCATTTTTCACCTTCAGATTTTGTAATAAAATAGTAAATACATATTTTGTAGAGAATTATTATATATTGCAGAAAAAAATATTTGTTCAATTAATTATAAGGAAGAGGAGAAAAATTAAAAATGCTGAGACTATAATTCTTTTTGCACCACTCGTTAGTTGACTGAGTCAGTCCTGAAAGTACCGACAAAAATGTTTAAATTTGAATGAGTGAGTATAAACAAAAAATAAAAAACTGTTTGTCAACAGTCAGTTGATTCAGCTTTTCAGATCGAGCTGATTGTCTATCAGTACACATTTGTTTTTCTTCCATCTTATAAATTTTTTTGTCCCATTGAACTTATTATTTAATAACCTAGGATGCAAAAGTATTTTCTAAAATTTTTTAACCATAGTTCGTTCTCTGTCCAGGAACATCGTAGAAAGTTACTTTTTTTTCTAATTGAAAGAGCAAAGTCTGAACTTCAAAAAACATGAGAAATAAAACTTTTAGGATTGAATTTAAATGAGAAAAAAGTCTAAATATCAAACATCACTAAAAAAAAGCTCTTGCAATGTCAATGTTCATCCTTTTTAAACATATGTCCTTCATCAAATATACTTTTTCCCTATAAGAAAAGACGTTTGAAATTATATAATTATAAAAATCAGAAGTATTTTTATCGCTTTTTCGACTGAAGCAGGATAAATTATGTTTTAATCCCACTTTTCAATCAGAACTTTGCATGTTTTTCATCAATTTGAAAAAAATAACTAATTAGACTTAGTTAATAAACTTCAGGTACTCAGTGGATTTCTTCCTTTTTCTAAAACGCATTTTCTGAAACATCATTCAATTCTCTAAAAACTCACATGAGTTTTAATTTTTATCAGTATGTCTTGACTCTTGGATAACAAAATTTTCTCGTTGCCTCTTATTTTCCATGCAAAGTAGTGCTTTCTACCAGAACTAAGGCTTCTAATACGCTTTTTCTTTATTGTTAAAGAATTGCTCAGAAATTTTCTAAAATAACGAGATCGTTAAGAATTTTGCACGGGTTATTTTCTCATCTATTTGATTTCCAAAAAAATCTTTTTCATCAGACTCTAGTAAACAAAAAAAAAATAAAGAAAAAAGGATCTTACAAGAACTTTTTTGGTGATTTTTGATATTTAGATGTTTTTGTCACTCAAATTGAGGGGTGCAGAATATCACTACGCAGTGTATTCTCAAAAAGAGACTGTTTTTTTCAAACTTGCTGGGCTTGCTGGGCTTGGTGCATTCTCGTGCATTCCCACTAAGAATACACCAAGCCCAGCAAGTGTATTCTCACTGACAATACACGAGAATATACCAGAATACGCAAATATATAAATTTTTATAAAATGTGCTGGGCTTGGTGTATTCTCACTGACAATACGCAAATGTTACATAGTGACTCACTCTCATGCTGCATCTCCCCCTCCCCCCGACCGCGACACTATATTATGTATTGTCAATATTTACGTATTCTGGTATATTCTCGTGTATTGTCAGTGAGAATACACCAAGCCCAGCAAACCCAGCAAATAGTGTCTTTTTGAGACTACACTGCGTACTGAAATTCTGACATCTCTGCTCAAATTCAATCCTAAAAATTTTATTTCCTATCTTTTTTGAAGTTTAGACTTTGTTCTTTCAATCAAACTTTCTAAAATGTTTCTGGACGAAGAACTATGATTGAAGATATCAGTAAATACTTTTACATCGTAGATTATATGATATTTAGATAGTACCAATATAAAAATAACAGAATGCAATGACATCTTCATTTTCAATTTTAGTAAATAGTCGATGATAATTATTGTGAGCGAACGACTATCTATAATTATTTAATTGAACAACATTTCATGCTTTATTTTATTCTTCTTATCGAATAATAGAATCACATTGTTAATAACAATCATCAATATATTCTACAACACAATAATTAATAAATTTTGAATTTTTATTTAATTATGAATTTTTTTCATAAAAGTACAAGTTGTCGTATCAATATAAAATAAATTTATATATCTGTTCATTAAAAGAAATCAAAATGAAAGATTATAATTATGATAAAGATCAATGATCATTATAATAGTGTCAAATTCTTTTTCTAATTTTTCTTCTTCTACATTCTTTTCTAAATGTGACAAAAATGACTAAAATTTGACATTTAGCTCTATGATTGTTGTCAGTTTCTTAAACTCGTCTATAAATTGATTTTACATAGTATAAATGTCTAGAATTTGTTTTTGTTTTTTTTGAAACAAAGATTCTCCATAGTTAAATCCATCGTTGTATAAACAGTGTTTTTTTTTCTTTATTATATAAAAAGAATGATTCAGAAGAAAGAAACAAATAACAAAAAGAAAATATAGTTTCTGTACATATATTTTGATTGGACACACTGTCTCATACTTTTATGAAAAATTGCCACAAAATAAAACGAAATCAAACATTTACGAATATGAAATCTGATTCGAACATTGAGTATAAATATAAGATTTTTTTGTTTTTCCCATTTCCCAAGAAACATCAATTTTTTCCTAATAATAATTTAAAGATCTCTTACTTATTGGCTTTCTTCCTCTTGATGTTAATTTATACTGAAATACTAAGAAAATTAGACAATTGTAGTATTTTATCTCATGTTTCTATAGAGAAACTGACTCAATCAGACTATATCTCTCCATTTATGAAGAAGTTCAAAAAATAAGTAGAAAGGCAGACGTAAACTATGAGTAATTAATTGTAAATTTTCATTAAAAAAATATTGTTATTGAATATGTGAGTCGAATGTGAATATATTCGTGTACATGTTTCTTAACTTCGATGTGTTTATGTGTCTATTTCTATGATATAACCATGTAACAGTGATTTTTCAATGTCAACTTAACGATCAAATTTTTATTTCTGTGGTAAAATGATCTTGTTTCATTAATTTTCGTACTTTTTAAACTTTCTGTTTGTCAATACAACAACAATAAAGGGTATTTTTAAACCACAAAATGTCTCACAATGTAATAAAATGATAATTTCAAAAATATCGACATGTTTTCAACAACAACAGCAATGAAAGAAATCACTATCATAAGATTTTTATTTTGTTAAAAATAAATCATTTGTATTTAAAAAAAAACAGGAAATATATGTATAATAGACAAAATATTTATTGAACAATCAATCATCAATTAATAACTAATTTAAAAAAAAACCAACTATAAGACGAAAATGAAAATTTGTACAATAAATATGTAAGATATCAATTAAATAAAGTTCAAACGAGATAAGACAGAAGAAAATGCTCATGATATGTGAAAATTTAAATCATTTTTATGGATATGACTTTAGAATTCGTCTAGAGTCGTTTTTTCTGTGTGTGTGTCAACGAATGTAATGATATGCAGATATTCTGGAAATATATATCTCCCTTAGACTTTAGACTTATTACTGGTAGAGAAACGAATTTCTTCTTGTATAACGAGAAGTAGAATTGAACATTTGTGTAAGAAAAAACAAACAAAGCAGATAATTTATATTATTATTTTTATTTTATTTTAGATGGAAACAGTTCGTCGGTGTCAAATTAAGTTATTAGATGATAGAAAAATTGAATTATCAATAAATGTAAGTTAATGTCATAGTCGATATTTTTAATTTCAATTTAAATTAGTCAACGTAAACTCTTCTATGATCAATTAGAAGTTCATAAGATGATACGATAGTTAATGGATAGACATATAAATAAAAGATAATTTATAAATATTTTTTTCATTATAGGAAATTTTTCAGATATTCATCTGCCTATTTTCTATTTTAGGCTAAACAAACTGTTTCGGAAATGACTGACGAAATTGCTCGCCAATACAATTTAACTGAAACAGAATATTTTGGTTTATATTATGAAGAAAAGTAAATTGATAGTCATAAACTGATAGTTATTTCTGTTCTATTTTACAATTATTTGATAATGGTTAACAGTACTTCTAAAGATTTATTTTTGATTATTCCAAAAAAACTTTCTGTTATACTGGGTAATAGTAAAACATGAAGACACCCACAGACACCCGCAGACACCCACAGACACCCACAGACAGCACACAGACACCCACAGACAGCCACAAACAACCACAGACAGCTGCACAGACAGCACACATA